CAATAGCCCAAGGGCGCAGCTGGAATAACAGAAAAATTTGCATACCACAGTTAGTACGAGGCCGTGCATCCAGAAAGGGAGAACGAAGAAGGCTGCTGTTGTTTATTCTAGTGCATCCGCCGCGTCTTGCATCCTTTCTGGAAACAAATTAATCTGATAAATTTCTTCAAAAAAATAAAAGAAATTCAAAGAGATTCTATCAAATTAAAACCCTAAATTCAAAGAAGAACCTTGGCGTGAATTTCATTAATGAATCAGGAAACCCTAGCTTGGGCAATACCTTTTCTCTGTTCATTTGGATATGCAAAAAATCTGAACCAGAAGATTCATGATATAAAAAAAAACAACAAAATTTAGATACTTTTAGTTAAAAATTGGTTAAAACTTCATTTTAGGGTACTATAATTTGAAGAAATGTCATTTTTTGAACTCTATACTTAAGAAAACCATTTTTAATTTTTAAAATTTATTTTTTCAACCCCCTTTTAATCCTTTGGTTACTTTTTTGCCTATATAGCATGTTAGTTAACAAAAAATACTTGATTTCTTGTTTATATAAATTACGTGGAAAATCTCATAAAACAAAATAATGACAAAATTACAAATTCACATTAACATTTCACTTTTATTACAAACCAATACTTGATTCTCTCTGGCACCTGGCCCTTTGGGCCCAGCAACATAGGGTTACCTTGCAGTGCATTTCCCCTCTCCTCGTGGTGGGTTCAATTTCACCCATGTAAACTTGGTAAAAAAAGAAAATACTTGATTCTCTCTGAGTATTATTTCAACCACCTCCAGACAAGAGTCGTCCATCTGGAATTGGCATACGCCGCATACCCAATTTAATATTGATAATGGTTTAGGCATCGAGAAAAGTGAAGAAAAGTAATTCGGAGATAAGGATTAAGTACAGGTGACAGGATTTCTTTAGAGATAGGAGAAGAAAGAATAGGGTATTGGGGAAGAAGATGAAGAGTTTTCGATAAATTCATTATAATTATAATTTAATTATTACAAATAAATTTAAATTAGTTTTGAAAAAATTTGCGTAATTAAATAAGTTTTAAGTTAATGTGTACAATAAATTTTGTACATGTCATTAATTTTTACACATAGAATTTCCAAATTATTAGTTTGAAGGAAAAAAGTAGCTTCTGTAGTTAATTAATGTGCCACAAAGGCAAAAAAATAATGTTAGGACTAAAAGTGATTAGAAAAATAAACTTCAAAGATCAAAAGTGACTTTTTTAAGTATAAAGATCAAAAGGGAATTTTTCTTTAAAGTATAAAAACAAAATAGGGTTTAATCTTAAAAATAAAGAGATAATGCAACTAACAACGAGAAATTAGCTATGGTCCTTTAAACAAATTTCTATAAACCCTATAAATAAGATGAAAATACCATTGTTTGAGTGAAATTTTTGTTATTATTAACTACGGGATTAATAGAATTTGGTTGTTGAAGACACAATTTGTTGTAGTATATATTATCGAGACTATTGGAAAAATTATAACATAAATAATTTTAATATTATTAAATAAGTTTATAAATATATTTTTTTATTAGTGTTAAAACTTATCTTAAATAAATTTTTAATTTTGATTTTTAATAATTACAAAATTAATAAAAATCAAAATTAAAAATTAAAAACTATAGCTATATATATACTATAGAGTATAAATTAATCACAGCCTAAAATTTATTTAAGCGAAATTAAATAATGGTTACCTATATAAAGTTCAAGTTGGTCATGAATTCAATCTTATGCAGGTGACCAAATTGGTGTTTGTTATGGCATGATTGGTAACAACTTACCGCCCCGCCCAGAAGTCATAGCTCTCTACAACCAATACAACATCCGAAGGATGAGACTCTACGACCCGGATCAAGCTGCGCTCCAAGCCCTCGGAGGCACCAACATTGAGGTCATGCTCGGCGTCCCCAACACCGATCTCGCACGCATCGCCGCCAGCCAGGACAATGCCAATGCTTGGGTCCAAAACAACGTCAAGAACCACGCCAACGTTAAGTTCCGCTACATAGCCGTTGGGAACGAAGTTAAGCCCTCGGATTCTTTTGCACAGTTTCTAGTCCCCGCCATGCAGAACATCCGAAATGCACTTTCGGCTGCCGGACTTGGAATCAAAGTTTCCACGGCTATCGACACCGGAACCCTCGGAGAATCTTTCCCACCGTCCAAGGGGTCTTTCAAGGGTGAATATATGCCGATTCTAAACCCTGTTATTCGTTTCTTGGTGGACACACAAGCTCCATTGCTGGTCAACTTGTATCCTTACTTCAGTTACATAGGCAACACGAAGGACATCTCCCTTAATTACGCCCTCTTCGCGGACCCGGCGCCCGTGGTCCAAGACGGGTCTCTACAGTACCATAATCTTTTCGATGCAATTCTTGACACAGTCTATGCTGCGCTTGAGAAGTTCGGTGGAGGCAATTTAGAGATTGTTGTATCAGAGAGTGGCTGGCCTACCACCGGTGGAACGGCGACGACGGTTGATAATGCAAGGACTTATAACAACAATCTGATTCAACATGTGAAGGGAGGGACTCCGAAGAAGCCTGGAAAG